TGTAAAGCCTGCGTCAGTCAGATGGGAACATCGGGCAGCCTCCAGGATCCTAAGTAGGGGGATGCGGGCAAGAAAAAGGACCGGCTGGTTAATGGTGGAGACACAAACTTCATGCTGCACCACACTAGAGACCCAGCACCACTCGGACAGGATGCTGCTCCCACCCGGCACCCCCCGAAACTGCAAATTTTTAAAATCTTCATCCTGATTATTTTATCTCGTTGTTGAGAGACTATACATAGCAGAAATACACCAAGGCAACAATTTCTACAGGTGAATTTCAATGACGTTGACCCATTTGGGACAATGTTTACATTGTGACTGTTACAAGGGATCAGGTGCTGACACAGGATCCCTTCTTGTAACTGTCACAAACTCAAACACTGTCCCCGATGGGCAGAATAGCGCCTAGCGAGGACTGTGAGCTTCCCCAGGCCAATCCAGAGTGTGGACAACAAATCTAGAATTCGCCCCACAACATCAGCATATGAGTTTTGTTTTTAAATATTTCCCTAGCCAGCAAAAAACAGGAGTTACCGTGATGCTCACGTGCCCATACTTAACGGGGATGGATGAATACATGACATGTCTAGTCAGACACTCCATCATATTAACCATTTGGACCTCCTTTTAGACCCTCACTCACTCACATTCCTCAAGGAGAGAGATGATAATGAGCTCGACTCTTCTCTAACAGGACAGTACCACCACTGGGGGAACAAACCTGAAACAGACACTTAGTCCCAGACAAGGGTGGTCAGTGAAGGGGCGGGGAACCTAAAAGGCCATCCTGCCACAAAAGCAGTGAAAGCAAACAGGCAGAAATGGTCAAAATCAACCTTCTTGGGGTTCTAGAATCTAATCAGAAGTTTACAACACCTACGGGAACAACTAATAAAAAATACACAATAATTCTGGGTTTTGGTCAGAGACTCGTGTTCTCACTTGATCCCGCACCATCCCCACGCTCCGCCCTGTGGAAACCTTGACGACAAGGGTGCACTCTTCCTATAGGTTCCTAGCACCAGAGGGAGCAATGAGGACTCTATTGCCAAAAAACTTAGGTTTGACCTCTCTGGGCACTCCCTAAAGGACAAGCTCTGGTTTGGCCTTTTCCTTGCCTTGCTACTCAGAGGTGTTGTTAAAAACCAGTGAAGGCCATGGTACGAGCCATTACCACTTGGTGGGGAGGGAACCCAACAGGGATAAATAGACAACCCAACATTTGTAAAGAAAGGCTACGACAGGAGACGGTTGAGGAAGGAGGACTTTGAAAAGCCCCTGCAGGTTCATGGGGATTTAGAAGACCACACACGTACCCAGGGCTCTGCTCACACTCAAAAAGTAACTGCGAAAAATCTTACCATAGTGAATGATGGGGGGAGTGCGGAGTGGAGA